GGTTATCGACGCAGTATACCGCGAACAGTGAATTTCACTCCATTATTCTGCGACTCCATGGCCCAGCGTTCACGGATATCCATTCAGCTTGATCCACAATGAGTCAGATTTCCAAAAACGTGGTCAAATTTTGCACGGTCAATTTATTAATATCCTGAACACGATCATAATTAATCACTGACAAATGTGATCCATTAGGCATGTAAAATAATAGTACCCAATTTTAATCTATAAACGTGAATTGTTCAAACAGAAACCGTCACTGCGGTCTTAAATAGTAAAACGTTATTACGAACGAGAAACTAATTCGATCAAATATTATTAGAGATCGAATGAATCGTATTACCTTACCCCAATTTCAATATTGTAAAGTTCCCCACAAACTAATCAAATCTAATTCAACTCAAACACGAACGTTTACGCTTCTATTGCTCGGTTCAAATCTTCTATCGAAATAGTGTTGGAAGCACGAGGAAGGATCGAAATTTGGAATCACAAAAGTCTATTCGACAAGCTCGAATTTGAAATTCCACTACCAAGAATGTTCCGGAGACTCTGTCGTCGATACAGCAATTACGGGACCAGGGGCTTAACGTTTACAAGGACCGTTAGTTGCTTGCACACGTATGCCGCCGCGAACGGATCCGATAATTAATTTAGCGCCGTTAATCGTCCACGGTCTATCGAGCGTCGAATACGGAGGTGCTTTAAAACGCGTCGATTAATGTAGCCGTATTATTACGCGTGCAGGAGCAATACGCGGGATGTCTCGTGCAGCTTTATGGCTACAAACGTTAGCAATATTCTAATTACAAAGGGTAAAAATGATCTATTCGAGGCAAGAAACAGCGACCAAAAAGATATTCAAAGAAATCAAATAACGTTACGTGCGGCAACATGACGTCATTGAGACGACAGAAAAATCATCAGAAAAAGAAATCATTTCTTTCACATGGACACCTTGCTAAGTGGGCTACTCTAGCAGAGGGTTTGAATTCCTAAAATTCGATTCAGAGCATGATATGAAAAAAAAATATTCCAATTTTGCTCCTTTGCCGGTGATTCGAGCCCATTTCTGTCCTGATCACCGAGACTCCACAGTAACAGGATGAAGAGGGCTCGTCCAACCTGCTCATTGCACTCCATCGAGCGAAAATTAATTGGAACACGCCGGTGGTTCGTGCTCGGCTCGAAATTTGTCGAACGTTTAAAACGAGGAGGCGCGGTGCGTCGAATTATCGAATTGTCCGATCGGGATTGCAACAATTGTCGCTGCAAACAACCTGCCCCCGCGGACCAGTGTTTCGAGTGTCGCGCGCTCCCGCGTATTTATCGCGAGTATTTATTTCTGCACGGGACGTGTTTGTCGTTCCTATTGCAGCTGTGATTAAATATTGCTCGTTTCCGACAATGCACAATTTTACGCGATTCAGCCGATCAGATAAATGCGAAATCGTATAATGGCGGTGATTTTGCGTGCGGCTAGGCTTAACCAGCCGTACTCTTCCAATAGCACTTGTACTTTTTGTCGAGGTATCGAAACGATGTTCTTTTACTTTCCGTCCGTCAAAGCCAATTATGCTCTTTCTCACACGACAACGTAACGAAATCATATTTAATTTTATACCGTATATTTTACATTTGTACACCCACTCTCCCAGATTATCGTTTCCAAAGATCAGCACATCGAGCCGTCGTAGCGAACCGGTTTTAATTGAAATTGGGGTAAACTCGGTGGTAAGATCAGTGCCAACTTCTCAGACAGATTAGAAAATCGAAGGGAGGCGTCTTCAAACGGTCTAGTTCAACAATGCCGACGCTTCCACGGCCGATTAAATAGAGCGGACTGCTCGGTGCGATTGTTGGAGAAACTTTCGGAGGCACGTGCAAGTTCGGGTCACTTCCGACCGCTTCTATTTGTAGGATACGTTAACCGTGGCGCCCGGAATCGCAAGGAAGAGAATCGTAGCGGAACGTTCCTCCGTGCAAGTTCACCGAGTTACCGGGTCAGGAGAGTTCGTAAAAAACGCTTAACCTTCTCAGCGTTGAGCAGTGCTAGACCAGCAACTTCTCGCGTTTTAGTTCGTGCAACGCTTTGACGTCTCACGGGACCGAGAGTCGCGTGGAAATTCCGGGGTGACGCCTGAACCGTAAAACTTTATGTACCGCGTGCACTTCTTTCGTGTACTTTGAAATTCAAATTATGAATTGAAGACCACTCGGATAACGGGACCATGCGCTCCCCAACACTTCATTACTCGTGGCGCGTTATACTTCCTCGGGACCCAAGACGAAACGAAATTTGGACGCTCCATCCGAAGAAACGGCGAATAAAATTGTTTTGCTCGAACTCGTTTTATCGAAACAAAACAAATAATTCGAACGTAACTAGTTACTTGAATTCTCTTGCTCAAGAGAATTTCTACTATATTCGTTTTGATTATTTCCACATTCAGAGATTCTGTTGTCCACTAACAATTTATTGTAAACAATATAACAAACGATTCGCAACGTATGATTGCCTTCGTACCGATCCAAAACTGTCTAAGAAATTTCGACGAGATACAAAGGTGGATGAATTCGTGTGCGTGTGGCTTAATACCAGTCCTTCAAGTTTTTATGATCGTGGCATTAAGAACCTGGCAATTTGCTGGCAAAGGAATATAGTAGTTAGCGGAAATTACAGTGAAAAGTAAACCTTTATTAGTTTGCAAAATATTTGTCCAGTAATATAAAAAAAAAGAGTTACTCTGGTATTAAGAAAAACGGTGCATTCTTGAAATCCGATTTGTGTAAACATGTTGCAATTGGTAAGATCGAGTTCTGTAATTGCATATATTTATACCCGTCGCGTGACATCTTGTTCCCCGCAAGATAAATAAATAAATTCAAGTACGACCTTCCGACGCGTACAATTTTACCCCATTTTATGCACGTACGGCACACTGCGAATCTGGGTGACACTCATCCAGCAAGTATGTTGAACCCGAACGCGTCTCCCCTTCCATATTTCTCGGTTTACTTTTCACTGGATTCCGCCAAGGTCAGCCGACCGGAGAACAAGCACCGTGCTTTCATCGATTCAACGCAGCTCAACCGTGTATCGTTAACTGAATTGCAATGCTTTTGTTTCGACAATATCCACCATTAACCGATCCTCGATGTTCATATAGATCATTTCGGTATAGATCTTTAACCCCAAAGTAACCGCACAAACGTTTATAGTACACCACGACGGTACGATATAGATTGGTTATTATTTATCCAAGTGGCATAGATAAGGGAAATTGTATTTATTTGTTATTATAATAATGCTTCTGCAAACCATAGCTTTTAATTCTTTTTATACAGGTTATCCCGCAGAGTGTGGTATTATCGAGCTGAGGGTAAATTCTACATGACAAAACAAGTCGAAAATGAAAAATACAATTTTTTAAAATAACGTTTTGTTTTGGAGATAATCGAATTTAGAAATATGTCGGATACGCGAACTAACGAAGAATACGAGTTGCTCTGGTATGTCTGTCCACTACCCACTGTTTCTACTTACGTCGACGTCCAAGTCCTACTCTACTGCACGCGTACGCAATGAATTTTTAATTGCTGCTTAATATGGATTCGTATAATAAACAGGTTTTAAATTCATTATCCAAATTGCGTCTTGATAAATTGGTAAACTGTTCCAGTAATGTCAACTTCGTAGCAGAAACGGAGCCAGAAGATCCGCGATATCGAGGCATAGCAAGGTAGTCGACGCGGGAGGCATTTTCTACTCTTATTCCGAGTCATCGTAGTTTACTAAATATCAACGTTTAAAGATCTTCCCGTGGCAAAAAGTTAGACGGATCTGAAATTTCTCTCCGTTTTTCTGCTCGTCCTTCTCACGCTCGTCGCTTCTCTCCGCCATGTATTAACCCGGTAGCCTACTTCCTGGCGCCAATAGCCGCGGGGCTTTCGAAAATACTTTGCGTACCTATTCGCCGTTCTCTGGCTACACTGGCTCGCGAGAAGCCCTATTCACGCTTTCAAAGGTCCAGTTAACTTATCGCAAGGCGAATGCCAAAACAGAAGAATCCAAGAACTTGTGTACGAAGCGAGTCGCGAAAGAGGACTCGCGAAAAATGGGAGTTTCATCCCTGGAAGCGAAACCCAATGGCACTTTGGAAGCTCGATTTCGATGTATCGCGCGATTCGAGACTCACGGTTGTTTAGTTGTACATCGAAATGATTCATATTTTATCGTTTAAACATTTTAGTTTGTTCCCTCTCGAAAATAATTTCAATTCACAATCAAATAATTCAAATTTGTTAGAGAGTAATTTCTCATGGAAATATAAACGGAAAATGTAGAATAAAATTTTGTCTCAATTAACGAGAAACATACATTACGCGTTTGAACGCGATAATGTAAGGCCTCTAAAGTCACCCCATTCTATAACTTTTTATTATCGCAGTTGTATAATAGAGGGTACGGCTCGGTGATAAAACCAAAAGGAGTATTTATAAAAACGGTAATGGTAACGGGATACGAAATTAAATATAGCAGCATACGTACAACTCAATCCCACTGGTTCGATAAGAAAACGAAACAACGGAATTGAACATTAGCCAAAGTACCGTTCCTTGAATTCTGAAATTACAGAACCCGTGTTGTTGTTCCATGGAACTGTAATAAAATAATTTCCCAACGCGAAATATGAAATATCATTTTTTAATGGCAACACATTAATACGTCTATTCGTGGAACAGCGAGAAGAATGGATGCAACTAAAAAAAAAAACACGATTAGTTAAATTACGAAAAATGTGGTTTATGTCCGATAATACTGTGAATAGTTGAACGATAGATTAAATATAATATAGATCGTGGAATGTTATAGAGTATTCCAGAGAGAATCTTTCCCATACCAGTCCGATACTTGCGATCTAAATCAAAGGTAGCATAATTTATCCGCCTTTGTGTAGCCGTCCTACGAGTAAATAACAATAGAGAATACTCACCACCTCGGCAACGTTGCCGGAACCGTCCCTCATGCCATCTCTGTCGGCGCGTCCCCCTGGAAAACAAAGAAAGAAAAAATCATTTATTACGGTTACGCGATCAACGAGGAACTCGCGTAAGTCGTTTCCGTAATCCGTGTCGTAAAATTTCAACGACGATGCACGGAACGGACGGACGCACGCGTTTCACGGGCGTGTTTCGCGTCTACTCGATCGCCGGGGATTCAGGCCAATCGTTTCACTCGAGTGAACAACAAATGCGATAGACGGAAGTGCCGAGGGAGCTAACTGGAAACGGAAAACGACGAACTGGTCGCGCGTACTCGACCGAGCGCGAGTATCATTCACCATTTTCCCCCACTTTTCACGGATACCATCGACCGATTTCCACGTTCGCGGGATCCGACGACGACCGGTACAATTAACGCGGACGCGAGAAACACGTTCCCGATAGGAGGTGTCAATGACTGCCTAGGCATATTTCCCGCCGTTGAATTATTCAGAGACATCGGTGTCTAGCTAGCTAGTAAAAGTTTCGCAACGGAGAATGGTTGCGCAACCGTTGTGAGAAAACACGTGAATGAGCGTCTAGAACAGGAGTCGGTGAAATTATTTCGAGAACGTTCATCGTTTCGATAAACAATCAGGCATTTATTAACCCTTTCATGGTGAACGGGACGCGTATGCCCCATTCAAATATTCGAACCGTTGCGTCGGTGACATACCGGATCATCCCATTCGAAATACATATTCTCAACACGTGTGTTTCACTCGAGTATTCCTACTATGCTTCACGTGGCAAATTGCATTTTTTTTCGTCCTGCTGTTATTGCATACTTTTATATTTAGTTCTGTTTTCGTGAATGTTAGCGTAACAGATGTCATTGTAATACATTCTTGAGATATCAGAGATCATACGTAAATTATTGCCAGTACTTTTGAAACACTTTAACACGTTGGAAACCTTAACTAGACTTAAAAGATCCAGAGTGTTCTCGGCGTTAATGGAAAACAAGAGTATGCCCGTAGGGTTACGTTCTACATTTCAACTCCGTCACGTATGCTCGGTTAAAAAAGGTCGAGTCTCTGGACAATATTGTCGTATGTTTATCTGCTAGAGATGGAAAAGTAAGAAAAGTCGAGAAACGTATCTAACAAAATACCATTTCGTAATAGTTTTAATTGTTTCGTTTAATTATTGTTAAGACACGTTATACTAACGATAATTCTTGCGCATCACTGCGTCGAGTGGATTCATAACTGATGAAATAAGAGTAAATTTAGCTTGTGTGTGTATCGTCATCGTGTGAGATGCCGCGCGAACGACGCGCGAAATAATCGATAAAACAATGGACGGTTGAAATCGACGATGGGTTTTTTGTTTCGGGAGCACGCCGTACGAGAGTTCTATTCTGTAAGCCAGTGGGCTATGTTCGGTGGTTTTATAAAGGAAAGAAATGTCCTATGTTAAATAAATAAAACACCAATCGGGAGACGACATTGCATCATTATTTCAACATGGTAGCAGGTCCGTGGTTCATTGAGTAAGTGAGGATATGGGAACACGTGGCAGCGGTTCGAAAAGTGATATAAAAGGTAAGGAGAGGTCAGGTGAAGTGATCAAAAACTCAGTGAAACAGGAAGAAAGTGGAAAACGATTTGTGGATATCGTAAAGAAAATTATAACGTTGAATAAAGTGAATAAAGCTTCTGAAGAAAACGAACAAAAGAGAGGAGTCAATATGGCGGACGAGTTCAAGATGACGCTACCAATTTTCGATGGAAAAGACTACAGCACGTGGAAGAAGAGAATTACAATATTTTTGAGGATGAAGAAGTGTGAGAAAGTTATTGAACGAGAGAGATCCGGAACGGATAATGAAGCCGCATGGAATGATACAGATTTGAAAGCGATGAACTATATATATAGTGCCTTGTCAAATAGACAAATGGAATTTATAAATGATGAAACAACAAGTTATGGAATAATTAAGAAATTAGATAAACTATATCTGCGTGAATCAACCTCACTACAGATATGTGTGAGAAATAAATTAGATAAAATTAGATTAAGAGATTATACAGAAACAAGGAATTTTACAGTGAGTTTGAAAAATTAATAATTGAACTAAAGAATGCAGGCGCTACAGTGACTGAAAAAGAAAAATTAAACTACATGTTGAGAACGCTGCCAAGTTCATTAAGTCATATTGGAGATTTAGTCGATGTATTACCCGAAGGAGATAGAACTGTGGATTACGTAATTAATAAAATTAAACTATGCGAAGACAGAGAAAAAGAGGAAAATCAAAATTCAAGAAATAAAGGTGTGAATTCAAATGTATTCAAAAGTGAGATGAAAAAGGACAGAACGTGTTATAAATGCGGAAAACCAGGGCATTTTCAGTACGAGTGCATGAGTCAGGGCAGCGCTGGAAATTACTGGAGATACTCGAGGGGAGGTGGACAGCAGCAAGCGCGAGGAGGCGCACGCCATTACCACCAACAGCAGCGAGACGGCTACAGCCAGGGCAGAGGCAGCGGAAACATCGGAGGTCGTGGCGCAGGACAACGGGGACGAGGCGGTCAACAACGGCAAGATCGTCAGAGCGCAGACCAAGGAAGGATGACCTTCGCAACTGAGGTAGAAAATAGAGTAGGCTGCAATGTCGTGGTGAATAATTGCGAAAATAAATTAGAATGGGTCTTAGATAGCGGATGTTCGGATCATATTATAAATGAAGATAAATATTTTGTAAAGGTTAGTAAATTAAGTAATCCGATAAGTGTGAAAGTTGGAGATGGTCGTACAGTAAAAGCAACTAGTGTAGGAGATATTATAGCTAAGTTTGTGACAAATTATAATGAAACGGAAATAGAATTAAAAGACGTTTTTTTTGTAAAAGAAATGGATAGAAATTTAATGAGTTTTGGAAAAATCGCAGATAAGGCCAAAATTGTTTCAATAGGAAATACCTCAAAGATTTACACGAGAGAGAATAATTTGATAGCAGTCGCGAATAAGGTGAATAATTTGTACAAGATAAATACCGTTTTTGAAAGTAAACAAAACTATGTGACCGAAAATGTAAAGAATGGTATGACGTTGAAGGAAAAATATCATAGGATGTTAGGACATCTAAATTTTAAGTATTTGGACATCTTGAGTCGGAATAAGTTAGTCAAAGGACTACCGAGTAATTTAGAGAGCGAGTATTTGAAGTGTGGTACGTGTGTACAAAGTAAAATGACTAATACGAGGTTTGAAAATAATAGACAGAGAGCAAGGAATATAGGAGAAATTATTCATGCAGATGTAAATGGACCCCATAGGATAATTGGATTTAGGGGGGAGAAATATTTCTTAATTTTAATAGATGATTATAGTAAAGCTGCAAAAGTATACCCAATTAAAGAAAAAAGTGAAGTTTATGATTGTTTTGTCACGTATGTGAATCAATTAGAAAATTTAATTGGAAATAGAATTAAGCGATTAAGATGCGATAACGGAAGAGAATTTTTAAATAAAGATATGTATAATTTTGCTAAAGAAAAGGGAATTTTTATTGAGCCGTGTCCTCCGTATGTTCACGAATTGAACGGAACGGCGGAACGATACAATAGGTCGGTAATGGATACCGCGCGATGTTTATTATCTGATGCGAGAATAAATGGCAGATTTTGGCCGGAGGTAATTAAAACAGCTGTTTATTTAAAGAATAGAACCTTGGCAAATACAATTGAGAAAAAGACTCCGTATGAAATTATGATGGGAGAAAGACCCGATATTAGTAACTTGAAATTATATGGGAGTAGAGTTTTTGTAAGAGTCCCGGAAGTTAAAAGGGAAAGTAAGTGGGATAGAAAAGCAGAGTTAGGGGTATTGGTCGGATACGAAGAAGTAGGTTATAGAGTCTTAATGAATAATAAAGTAATTATAGCTAAACATGTTGATATTGTTGAAGAAGATGTAAATTTAGTTGGATTTAGAGATAACGAGGAAATTAATGGAAATGAGTTAAGTGAAAATGAGATTAATCAGGGATGCAAAAACGATGTTGAGGAAAATGAAGATAACGATTCGGATGAAGAGGAAATGAATGAAAGTAACGAGCATGTGAATAATGTACCAAGTGCTAGCGATAAAAATGTAACATTACCTAGAAGGTCAGAGAGGAAGAAAGGTCTTGTAAACAGGTATGGAAATCCGATAACGAATTGTATTTATGTAAATTACGTAAGCGTAGATAATCCGGAAAACTATAATGAGGTGATAAATAGTAGTGATAGTGAGAAATGGCGAGATGCGATGAATAGAGAAATTGAATGTTTAAATAAGAACGATACATGGAAATTAGTTGGAAAACCGAAAGAGGGAAAAGTATTAGATTTAAAATGGGTCTACACAAAGAAGTCTGAGGATAAATTCAAAGCTAGAATTGTGGTAAGAGGGTTTCAACAAAAGGAAATACTTGAGGACATTTATTCACCTGTTGCGAGAACACAGACGTTGAAAATATTATTAACTTATTGCGTACAGAACGGTTTACGGATAGATCAAATGGATGTAGAAGCAGCATTCCTAAATGGAAAAATTAAATCCGAAGTATATGTAAAACAACCTCAAGGGTACGATGATAATACGGGAAGAGTATGTAAACTTATTAAGTCTTTGTACGGACTGCGCGAAAGTCCACGAGCGTGGTACGAATGTTTAGATGAGTATTTGACAGGATTGGGATTTAAACGTAGTGAAATTGACTACTGTTTATATTACATGGAAAATAATAACGAGAAAATTTATTTGATAATTTTCGTAGATGATTTATTAATTTGTGGTAGAAATAAAAAATTAATAGAATTTATTAAGAAGAAGTTAGCTGTAAGATTCCGAATGAAAGATATGGGCCAGATAAGAACTTATTTAGGAATAAATATTGACTATGAGTGCGGGAAAAATTCTATGACATTAGACCAAGAAAAGTATATAGAGTCATTGGCGAGAAAATATGAAATCGAGGAAGCTAAGTTGTATGCTACTCCAATGGAACAAAATCTGAAATGTGAACCTGCTTTATCAGTGTCAAATGATATTAAATATAGAAACTTAATTGGGGCATTGTTGTATATAAGTTCGAGTACTAGACCGGATATTTGCTATTGTGTGAATTACCTAAGTAGATTCCAGAATTGCTATGACCAAAGTCATTATAAGTATGCATTAAGAATAGTGAAATATCTATATTACACTAAAAACTTAAAATTAAAATTTGAACGAGATGTAAATTCTGATGTATTAGAGTGTTGTGTGGATGCCGATTGGGCAGGAGATATTACTGATAGAAAATCTACGACAGGATATGTTATAAGAATGTATGGTAATACTATATTCTGGAAATCAAAAAAACAAAACATTGTAACGAAGTCGTCAACAGAAGCAGAATATGTAGCGTTGTCTGTATGTGTGAGTGAGACCAAATTAATTAGAGATTTATTGAGAGAATTTAGAATTGAATTTAAAGATCCGATCCGAATCTATGAGGATAATGCTGGTGCAATAAGTATAAGTAGATATGGAAACTTAACGAAAAACTCTAAGTATATAGAAACGCACTATCATTTTGTTAACGAGAATTACGTGAAAGGAGTAATTGATGTAATTAAAATAGAGTCAGAAGAAAATCCAGCAGATATCTTTACGAAGTCGTTAGGACGAATTAAATTCGAAAAATTTAGAAAGAGTCTAAAGTTGTGTTAAAATATAAGAAATTTAAGTCGAAAATTGTGAACTGTAGGAAAGCTAAATTTAAGGAGGCGTGATGAAATAAGAGTAAATTTAGCTTGTGTGTGTATCGTCATCGTGTGAGATGCCGCGCGAACGACGCGCGAAATAATCGATAAAACAATGGACGGTTGAAATCGACGATGGGTTTTTTGTTTCGGGAGCACGCCGTACGAGAGTTCTATTCTGTAAGCCAGTGGGCTATGTTCGGTGGTTTTATAAAGGAAAGAAATGTCCTATGTTAAATAAATAAAACACCAATCGGGAGACGACATTGCATCATTATTTCAACAATAACGTTGTCTTAGAGTACAAGGTAACTCTGCAGCATCGTAGCGAACAGAACGAGGATTAAGTCGCGACGACGAAACTGTTCAATTAGCGAGACTACGAGTGCAACGACCATCGGCTACACGTGGAAACGGCGAGCTGGCGCACGGTTAAAATTCACCGAGACCGGCTGTTAATTAATGGAAAATTGATCTCGGGCTGCGGAAATTAGTTCGGTGCATGCGGCGTGGCCAACAGAACCGCGTAACGTTCACGAAGATTTAATTAGGGGGTCGTTGATTCTTGTCCGAGCGCTTATTTTTCTGCTCGTGACGCTGAAAGGAACTTCGACGACAAAGCTCTAACGTGTTATCCACCTGAAGCGAACTTTCGCGACTTCGTTGCAATAATCAACGGAAGATGAACCTTTCAGCCCCGAGAACTTTTCGTACCAAACGTAATTTATCCCAGACACCATTAACTCCGACGGAACCGCGCGCGATACGGTCAATGGCGTGATCGTAGCAAAACTTTGATCTCGTAAGGAGACACGCCCGATTGTGACGATCAACTTTTAGTAAACTTTGATAGAGGCTAGCGATAATGCTTGAAATACTGAAGATAACGATATATGGCTCTAGGCATAGGCGGTTACCAATTTAGCACAGTGAGTCTCCATTACTGTATCGGTACGAACAATCGTGTTACGGTGTCGACAACATCGTTGGATCTAAATTATTTTTTTTTAAACAACTTTTAAAACAATGACGACAAACGTGACGTAGATTCTAACGTATTTTATCGTATCTTTTTAATCGTTAATTACGATTTACGGAAACAGTGGGTTTTTCTAAAACGATCGATTCAACCAGCAGACTTGAAGAATACTTGTAAGAACCATTGCAGGTGAGAGCGTCGGAGAAGTTCTTGAGGGTCAATTTCGTGTTTTCGTTTTTTTGATCTGAACAAGTGGTCTCTCCTCGAAGCTTAAGCGAATCGCACGGGCTAATCGTCGTAATTTCGTGGGTACGTTCCCTTCCTAACGTTCCTGCGGTATTTCGGACGGAAAAGAGTTATTACCGCTCTGAAACGTACAGGACTGTCAAGCAAAGTATACGACAGGTTGAATAAATGGTGCCCGCCGCAGGAGCGCCACGAAATTAACGACTTCCACAATTTCCAGTACGGAATGAGACTAATTACGCGAGTAAGTAGACGTACGACGCAAAATATTAGACTTTCGTTCAAAATCCAGACCTCTACTCATCTTATCTTGAACGATTAATCAAACACATATTACGAGTGATTTTCGGTAAAAGTAAGTGGTCCGCGACACGATAGGAAAACGCAAATTGGCCCAAAGACAAATCTGAACCATCGAGGTGTACTTCGCAACGATTATTTTCCCTCATAGCGCTTATTATATTCCAGGAACCGTTGATTCTTGAACCACGCAAACACGGTTGAATGCACAATAGCGAAGACTGGTATTGTGCGGACAACACACGCGATGTATACAATTCAAGAATATTAGCCCCTGTCATCGTGGAAGATCGATCGTATGGTATTGATAAGTGCTGCAAGAAACATCTTTTGTTCCGCTTCGTGGGAAGCTCGCGAAGTCGTAGAAAATTCCATTCAGCGCCAACAGAGTTTTCCAAACAACGCATTTTCATAGGTAAGGAAATTCGGAGTAATATTGCTATATATGGGGAATACGAGCGGTATTGTTGAAATTGCTGAAACTGCTGTGTATCGAAAGGAATACAGCGAACGTAAAGAAGTTAAGGTAAAAATCTGCTACTTTTACCGATCGTAAGGTAGAGTTAGTATTGCTCGGACATAAATTAGATTCAAACATAATACCGTCGAAGTAATAAAACCGCCATGTAAGCCTTTTAACAGCGGCAATAACAATGATTAACATCTTATCCGTTACTCTAGGTTCAGGGAACTCTATGAAAAATCAGGCTCTATAAAAGTGGCCTGATTGTGGGTTGGTGGACTCACAATCGGGGCAATGTTTGAAATCCGAGTGCAGGTCTACCAAATGTTTACAATATGTAAACAAGAATGTACCCCTGTTACTTCTGTTTAGTTTGGTGGATGAATCGAATTACGTCCATATTAGCTCGAGTTCCGAAGGAGCAGATGAAATGCGCGCGAAACGCCGTTGAGATAGATTCAAATTTTGCACAATCTACACGTCGCGCTGGCTCGCGGCTAAATGCGACCGCCCTTTGGTTTTTGATGCCAATGGTATTCGATTTGAAAGTTAAATCGAGCTTACCGGTGTCACCGGTACCGGGAAGAGGATTTTAATTGAAATTTTGCCGAAGCCACGGGAGAGCACAGGTACGCGCGGCAACGAAAGAGGTAGACAGAGAGGATATAAAAGAAGAAAAAAGGGCCAACGGTTGTATAGCGCATGCGCGTGTCCCACGAGAGCCAAGATCGTGTGTTTTAAAAACACGCAAGAGGCGACGAGTGGGATTTCAAGGTTAGGCGGACCGAGACGCTCGAGGTTAAACAGCGAACGAACGAACTTTTCTTTTGTCGTGAAACGCAAATTCGAAAAAGTCACGTAAAAAAAGAAGCAAAACATAGATACGCGATCAATTTGCGTGGCTTAATGCTCATTTATCTAAAATATCACCGTCCACCGCGCTCCCATTCGTCAAATTCGATGGACATTATCGCTAAAATACTACTCTATGATCTTGCAGCGTTATGATTCTATGAATATATGTTATATTTATGTATCTAGGGCTCGCACAATGGTACTCCATTTCATAATTTAAATGGGTGGCGCAGATAAGAAGCGACGGTATTCGATCGCCGGTTACCGTTGCAATAAATATCGAGGGTGAAATCAAATACAGCTTATCGAGTTTGTACGATAAGCCGTTCCGGAAATCCAAACAACAACGATAACGAAAAAAATATAGATTCGGATATTAGCCAACGAGAAATAGGCGCGAGTCGGGTCGATCTATCGCAGATAAAGCTCGCTATCGTCCAGTAAAAGGCAACGACCGACAACAGCGACGCGAGTATTCACCTTTTTTATAAACCGGCAAAATTTTGGCGATTCTCGAGTCGCCCGTGTAATCCAGTTCTCGGCGATCGCGTGCGGTTCTTCTTCGGTGTCCTCTTGTCTGGATATTTCGTTTCGTTTGCACTTAATCGCGGTGTCGCAGTTTACTGCTTGCCCACTGCCCCCCTCTCCGATCCTTTCTTTCTCTTCTGCACGATCCTAACCTCACCCCGCACCGGCACAACTACGACACACTGTGGCACGACCACACTCCACCAGCACGAACGGAGCACCGTAGTAGGCGCACCTCCAAAGAGAGATCAGAAAATCACCGCGGCAACTATATTCCTCGTCTTCTTTTCCCTCCTTCTTCCTTTTCTCGCTTCCAGTTGCGACGATCCAGAAACTTTTCCCGAGTATCGGCCGCTTTCCGGTACTCGGTTTCGCGGCGACTTATCTTTGGCAAAGAATCTACGCGCCACACGCATATGTCACTCGACCAACAGGGAAGGGGGGCATACGTTCCAAAAAGGAACTGCACGCGGCGAAGTCGCTCTTTCCTCTTTCTTTCCCTGTCTTTCTTACACGCTCCGGTTCCTTACCCTCTCCTTTTCGCGCCGCGTTCTACCTGTCAGCAATGTGATAGCCGTTGTTGCAGCGTTGCCGGGTCAGGATGACTTTCCTGCAGCGTGATCGAATTTTCCGTCGACGTACAAACGAGCGTGCACCGAGCGATCCTGGCCGCGAAAGAGCCGGTAACGTGGCCCCCCGTAGAACCCTCCTTTCTCGGATCTCATGCGTGCCCCCTGTGTAGGTTAGGTGTCCCGCGTTCGACTGTTGATAAAAAACAGCGGAACCGGTGGGACGTTGTTCACCAGCGTGCGATCGCCGGTCGTCGCATCGGCATTATTTCGAACGTGGATCGCGGGTTTGGGTATCGACTCACTCGCGGTTTCGCGACATCGCCCTCTCCCCCCGCCGTCGGATCTGTCTCTCTCGCACTGTCGGGTTATAACGGACAGAAGCAGGCGGACGACTTTTTAAAAATGCCACGCACCGACCAATCACGAACACGCGCACGGAACGCAGACGGTACGAGAAGATAGAAGAGGAGAGAAAGAAGCGGAGCCGCTATACACGCACGCGTTGCCGCCGCTCGCTCGTACACGCTACGTACCACAGGTATATACACACAAGCCACTCGGAGGGAGGCGAGAGAGAAAGAGAGAGAAGGAGTGAGCGCGCGCGCACACACGACGCGATCTCCTAACCGATGTCGATCTTCCCTGCCGTTTTCCAGCGATCACGCGCGACGCGATCGAAGCATCGGCGACCGCGACTCTGACGACGCCCGCGCACGTCACTCGAACAGGAGAACGAACTCCGACGCGTAGCAAACGGCCGGAAGGAGCTGGACGCAACTTATTTCGTGGAATGTCCGGCGCGAGTTGCGTGGCCAACCGTCCGTCCGTGCGGCTAAGGTAAGTTGAACTGAGCAGCAGCGCGCCTACGGTGAACGAGATTAAAGTCCCGTACCGGCAGAACCGCGATATCGGCCAATCAGCGGGCGGTTTTGCGCGACTCGACCAATCGCCGTGCCCGCTCACCTGGCGAACGGTTAGCCCAGGTGCAGCCGCTAAGGCGCCATTGCCTGGCGTTGGCACGTTACCTGCCCGACTCTTGGAGGGGGCACCGTGGACGAAAGACGGAGTGGGGGCACCGGTACGCGACAGAGAAAGCCTAACTTTCGTCCAGGTAAGGGAACGAAGAGAAAAGACTACGGCGAGAGGCGAATTGCAGTAAGACTTTCGGTGATAAGCCGAACCCCGAACGTTCGTTTTCACGAAATTTTCGCGATCGACTTTTACGCCAGAACACGCGGCGTGATCCAGAAAGAATCGCACGGGTTGTTGATCGCACGGATACCGGCTAGAACGCGGATAATCGAGTTCGAAGTCTCTCATCGTTTCTCGATGGGTACGTTTACACTGCTGCAACAACGCGCGCAGCGTGCACCGTTGTTTTGGTATCCAGTATCCACTCCGCTGCAACGAGCGGCGCGGAGAACACTGGAGCGATCGAGACGAAAACAAGCGGCATTCGACTGCAATTATTCGTAATTTGCGGTAACACGATAGATCGATTGCAACAGGAATTATTTCTTCCGATGCATTCACGCGCGCGCGCATCGATGATTCGATTCGTTTAACGAACACAAGATTATCTTCGTTCGATGTACTCGAAAAGGATTTGGTATAATGCATTGTTATACTGTTTTTGGATTACGTATACGAAGCTGAAGTTCTTTCGGAAGAAAGACTTGTTTCGGAGATCCTGTTAACGTTGTATGTTCGAAACTTTCATCGTCTACGCACAGTGTCTCATTAAAATGAAACCCTTTCAAGGGTTTCAAGTTCATTCTGTAGCAGAATGTCTCAGCATTGTAAACGTACCCAATCACGACGACGAGCGCAATAGCGAGTGTATCGTGCCTCCGGAGACACGTTACGCGAGAAACTCCGCCGGTGATATACATAGGCAACCGGGACGGGGGAGGGAGAGGGACGGCTGTTATCTAAATTACTCTATTTTCTCGAGGGACGCTCGCGATGGATTTTTTTTTTCGATCGCTTGGAACGTAGGTATCGAATCAAGGTGGGTGTTCCTGCTGTTTCACACAGACACTGACCCCTTTTTCCCTCCGCGTTCTTCCGTTCCCATCTTCTCCCTCCGGCCTTTCTCTCTCTCTCCCTTGTACTCTGTATTCCTTCTCCCTGTCCGCGTCGAAGAAATAAGCAGTTCAGCAATCCAGGGCACCGTGGTACCCCTAAACACGAGTCATATTTAATTTCGAGATATCCATCTTTCGATTAGGACAACGAGACGAAGCGTACATGGAAACTGGGTGCCGTCGAGCCGGGGACGAGAGCCAGGGTCATTAGGGAGGCACGGTTGCTCGAAAATCGAATACACCTCTTATATTTATTGCCGTAGTTATTGCACCTCACGCGCGTCGTGTATATTGCACCCCTGTCGTCGTACCCGTGCGTCATAAACGTTTATTTATCAAGCCCTGGGTTAAGTCGGGGACAATCTGCTTTACGACGAAAATAATATTCAACGCGCGCCCAGGGAACGACGATTTTAACGGTAATAGTAATCCTCGAAAATCGGTAACGATATAAAGGAAAATGGATGTGTAGCGTTTCTTACCAAATTTTCAGGCGGTAGACGATTGCTTTCTTATTCAAATGGCTGATACGAATCGTTTATTACGAAAGTGGCGTAAGATCATTTATCTACGTTTCGAGATACAAAAGTATTTGCAATTCAATCGACTAGAGAATATTGATAAGCGTTAATTGGCTAGATAATACAATTGTGTATACACTCCCGCTCAAAAGTACCAGGGCACTCGATGTTTTCAATTAACTTTCGTCTCGCAACGTTATTTATCAAAATTAAATCGCTTTTTTACAATACCATTACGAATAAGCTTATGTTTGAATCTTTGACTAGATATAACAAATCAATATAATACAATTTCATTTTGTTTCGATATATTGTTCATTTTATAACCCTTACACCAATTGAAATCATATCAATTACTTTTGTACTTGATACCAGGGATTTTATTCAAATTGAAATATGTTGCAGCCCATGTAAAAATGAAAGTGGCTTCCGTTATCAGTTTGCAAATTATTTAAATAATACAGACTTTGTTAGCAATTCTCAACAACGTTTAAAAAAAACCACCGTCGAAAACGACTTTTTATCTCTATATATAAGTATAACTCTGTGAAATATTTTCATTAAACTCGAACAAAATATTTTCATATTCTCTGTTTTTTCTTTTTCGATAGTGCTATTCGTATTTGTGGAAATTCTGAAATTATGGTCGCGGCAGGTCAACAAATATAACGATGTGCAACGACTCTGGTAAATACACCCGGCCGATCGACCATTCCCCTTTGGTGGATTCCGAAAACCCAAATGTCCTTTGTACTATAAAAGGTATTAAACGAAGTGGTTCGTTATTGTAGTCGAGGCAATAGGATTATGTATCCCCCAGGAAAATTGTTTCTGTTATTTTCCAGTACCCTTTGTATTGCTTAACAGTTTATATAATTACGCCCACTTTCTGAATAAACCAAAGACAGTAACAATCTTTGACCTGTCCGTTTATTTGTGCCTTGTGGGCTTGTACAAAATTGTGTAAATACTTTAAAGAATAATTTCCAAATAATAAAGTTTAATGTAATATCGCCTTGCCTCTGAAACCAGAGGAGCGTGTTTTAGCAGATTCTAGTGTTATAGACTCTATCTATGTCCGTATCATTAATCAAAATTTAAAATTAATGTTACATGCGATAAAGTCTGATAGATGAAGCGATAGAAATAATATTGAGAATACATGAGATTACAAATGCGTTCTGTGTCAAATGATGTATGAAAATCATAGTCCGGATTGTCGTTTAAATAAATGTAGTAGTTGCCCTGGTTGGCGTGCTTATCTTGAATCATTAAACATGCCTATCGTCGTTTAGCGGATTGTCCTAACTACAATTTTGAAGCATCGATTAATTAAACTCGATACAGGATATGGGAAAACAATTGTTTCTAACTTTTTAAAACTTCATTCGTAGTTCAAATTTGTACTTTTTATATTGGAAAATGGCATTCCTTTGCGACGGCAGTTTTCACAAAAAGTGATAAAAATTGCCAATTTGATGGATCTGTATTTTGTAAACAATCTCGAAAATTACAAAGTGATAACTTAAATCACGTCTATTTTTACACGGGCCATAACATATTTCAATTTCAACAGAATCTCTGATATCGAGTACAAAAGTGATCGATTTGATGTGAAGTGACCCGTACTTCAGGGCCGTGCCCGTATATGTATTGAAGCCCAGGGTAATAACGAAATATGACGCCCTTCATCCATTCCCTTTACAGCAGACATACAGGTCTTTTAAAAAAGATTTTCATTCCGGATTTCATGGGGAAAAACCGAAATAAATAAAAGTCGTCTCAATTTTATCTATTCTTCCTCAAGTTTAAGGTAAAAATATACGATCTCAAAGATTCGTTGTTAGCTTCTTTATAATCTTTGAAGTTCTATACAACATGTACCATCATGCTATATCAGAGGACTGATCAGTAAACAAATATGTTGGGCAAGTCAAAAATAAATCACTCCCTTT